GATTTCCCTGTAAATGCAGCAGTTGTTTTTATTACTGAGGCTTGCTCCAAGCAATGTCCTGGGGGACACATCTGTCCCTTGGTTTCAGCCCTGAGCAACACTGGGCAGGGGGGAACAGGGGGCTCTGACCTCCTCCAACAGCCTCAGCCTCCCCTTCAGAGTATTTTTAGACCAAGCTGTCATGTAATCTTGACCTCCAGGATGATGTGGGCTAAAAAATATCACTGCGTCTCCAGCATCAAGCCCAGGATATAATTTACAAATCTCTTTAGCCCATTCTTAATTATGCCTCACCTTGCTGCAGTAATGAACTGCTAACAAGTATTTTGAGCAAATGTGAACTTTTTTTTGAAGTTTCTCAGTGCTGATGCTCCTGGCAGGTGCTGGCGGCACAGAGGCTTTGATGGTTTGTTTCAGCACCCACCTGATGTCCCTGAGCCTGTAATGACTGCAGGGGCTGGGGATTTAGCAGATTGCTTTTTTTTGCCTTTCCTGAGCGGGATGTTGGAAGGAGTGGGCTGGCTGCTCCCACTCTCCTCCAGAGTGATTATATTAGCATGGCCTGGGTAGGAGTGGCGGAAATTACAATGAAATACTAGAGGTAGGAAATAAAAATCTAATTTAAAAATAATGACAGACGTGTGTCATCTCCCAAACCCTAGGCATGACCATCCTGGCCGTGGGGCAGCTTGGTTGTAGGGGGTGTTGTGTGCTTCAGCTGTTGGGGAGCTGTGCTCAGGGAATAATGCTGGGAGCAGAGAGCTGGCAAGGGGAGACAAAGGGCTTTGGTCTCTCTAAAACTTGAGAGGGGAAATATGTGAGTGGATTTGGGTATGAAAGCCCTCTTGGTCCCCCAGGACTTGCTCTGCTGAAGTCTGACTTGGTGGGCGCCGTTGGGGCAATTCCCCTTTTCCTCCTATCCAAGCAATTCTGGGACTGGCTGAAGCCCACATGGTTTCACTGCTTAGGGGGTTGGGGACTGTCACATGCAGTGGTTTGGGGGTCACCATGGTGGTCTGTGTGCAGGGCTCTGGCACTTCTGGGATGGCATTGCTGAGAAGGAACAGCCCAGCAGGGATGGCCACTGGCTGGAGCCTGGCTCTGCCACTGACCTACCAGGTGGCCCTGGCCATGTCACTTGTCCTCTCCGAACCTGGCTGTCTTCTGGTGGGTTTTCTTGGCTCTCTGGGGGCTCTGTGCCAGCCCAGCCCTGGCTGTGTGAGGGAGGCACCTGCCTTCAGGTGCTTCAATAATAGAAATCATTAATTTTCGCTGCTAATGGAAGAAATGCTGCACTATGAAAAATGTGCGTTGGCTTGGAGGCAATTCAAAAGGCTGGTGGAGACGGGAGCCCCTAATTTGTTCCAAATTGGTTATTTCACTGGAATGGTGAGAAAGCATCAATCTGAGGAGCTTTTCTCCCTTTTCATTTCTGTCAGCTGTTCCTCGGCTGTAATGAATTGGACTTGGCTGCAATTTTTACAATTTAAACAGTGTCCAGAATAAAGGCTGAACTGACTGGGGGCTCTGGTGCACTCCTGAGCTCTCCGTCTCTCGGGAGGACCCTGGCCTCTCCCCCACCACCCACAGAGGGACAGGCAGGGCTGTGGAGCCCAGATCAGGGTTCAGTGTTTGCCACCTCCCTTCAGCTGCCTCCAGTCAGGATGAGCCCAAATCCCCCCTGAACCCCTCAGGACTTGTGGCAGAGGTCGGTGGGGTCTTGGCTGGGCTGCACTGGCCTGGCAGCACTGGTGGCTGCGACACGGGGGACACTGGGCTGATTGGGATCTCTGCTGAAGGAGGCATTCCTAAATGCTGTCTTTTTTCAGATCATTACCTGGCAAATGGGGAGTGTTGGGAATTAAAATCCAAAGGGAGTTGGGCTCAGTGTTTGTGGACAAGAGAGGAAAAGATGTTTGATAGATCAAGACTGATATCCAGTTTTGCTCCTCAGCAGCTGATTTTGGTATCAGTGCTGTGGGGTGAAGTTTCCTGCAGCTCTTGGGGAGAAAGAGGCAGCCAAGCTGCCTCCCAAGGACCAGGTGCATGGACTGGAGGAAGCCCAGGGAGCGAGATCACCCTGTCCCTGCTTCTGCTCCTTGACAAAAGGGCTTTGCCCTTCTCAGCTGCTGCTCAGAGGAGCCTCAGCCCAGAGCTGGGGTCGCCGGCGGGGAGAGATGAGCATGCTCCCCCCGCTCCCCAGCCTAGCTCAGTAATCCTGTTGTGGCCATGTCCAGAGTTTGCAGGAATGTCATCTGAGTTTATTTCAAGGCTTGTTCCCTGCCAGCTGCAGTCACGCAGCTGAAGGTTGTGACAAAGCTGTGCAGGGGAACGAGGCACGAGGCTGCATCCTGCAAGATGGCAGTGGGGTGTGTGTGGGGATCCTGTGTCACCAAGCTGGGGGCTTCTTCCCCAGTAGCACCCCATGGTTCACTACCCATGACCCACTGCCCATCCAAGCCCCTCCACAAGGACCTGAGCGTGCTGGAACCAGAGTCTTTGTGCCCACAGTGGTGCTGGAAGGGCAGCCCCAGCAAAGGAGAAACAGCCCCCTGAGTACCCTGAACTGCAGGAGAGCTGGGACCCAGCTGGGAAACACTGGGGTCCCCCAGCGTGTGTCCCATCCCCATCTCTGCGTGGGAACACCTTCTCTTCCCCACATCCCTTCCAGTGTCTGCACATCCTGCAGGCCGTGTCCCTGCCAGATCCGCCCGTCCAGGCACCAGCCCGGGGGCTGCAGGAGTATTTTTAATCTGGCTGAGCTGACACGGTGCCGGGTGCTCTCTCCCACATGAGGCAGCGGCTCCTCGCAGCCTTCCCCCTCCGCCACACACGGCAGAGATTGAACTGAGCTGTCACCACCTTCGGGTGCGAGGGATGCAGCCGGGCAGCTCCAGGAGTCCTCCCTCCCTTGCATGCTCCCAGTTCATTCTGGGGGCTGTCACAGCTGGGGTTTTGGGTGCAGAGGGTGAGCAGGGACCTGCAGGGTGCTGGGTCTTTCCTACCCCGTGCCCGGTGATGGCCAGGGGTGAGAGGGCTGGTGGAGCCAGGCACAGCAAGGTGGGTGGGCAGGAGAACTGGGGGCTGAGCAGGGATGGGCTCCCTGGGGTCAGCAGCTCTGGGAACACCAGCACCTCCGCTTCCCTGCGGGAAGAGCGTGCGTCATTTCCCAGAGCCTGACTGGCTTAGAGCAGGGATGGAAACAAAATCTCGTAAATATCTTTGGACTCGGGGATTTAAACATTTTTTGGGGTAATATCGCTGGGTTTGATCTCTTCTGTTCAGCTTCTTATAGGTGCAGTAAGAAACCCTCGGGGAGCCCACCCATGGATGTGGGGCTGGAGTGCAGGAAGGGGTGCCAGGGATCGGCCTGGAGCATCCCAGTGGGGTCTGCTCTGGCTGCTGGAGGTGTGGGATGCCAATGGAAACTGGGACTCAGATGGAAACTGTGGCTCATGGCTGCTGCCGCCCTCGAGCCGAGGGGATGATGGATGTGCTGGTGCTCCGGGCACCTGCCCACCCAGCATGGCACAGTCGGGAAAAATAGCAACAATTGGCTCGAGCCAAGGCTGCTGCATGGAGGTAAACAGGAGTATCTCCACTCCAGTTCCTTTAGGAAGGACGTCTGATATCCAGCAGCTATGTGAGGGTAGAGTGCTCGGCAGGGTCAGGGACATCCTGCAAACGCTGCCCAAAATTCGTGTTACAGCTTGAGGCTTCCAGCAGGAATGGGTTTGCAGGGGAGAAGGGGTCAGTGGTTTGAGCCTTGCCTCTTGCATGGGGCAGGCAGAACAAGGGTGCTCTTGTCCGGAGTTCACTGGTCCCGTGGATTCCACTGCAGGGGAATCCTCCGTGGAAGGGTCCTCATGGGAACTGGATTTGGATCTAGCCACTGCTAAAGTGGGGTCGCTGACCTTTGCCGTCCTGCTCTGGGTGCTGGCAACCAGGGAATGGGACGGGGGATGCAGCAGGCTCCTGCCTAAAAACTCATTAAAAAGGCTCAATCCTCTTTTCTCGAGGCATTAGCACAAGAATAAATCGGGTGTGTTTTCACCCCAGGAGCCGGCTCCGGTTTCACCACCTCCTGCTCTCATTAACCCTGGGCTGACACTTCGGCAAGAATGTCCCCAGCGCAGGAAGAGCCTCTTGCCCCGGGATATGTGGAGGAGCCTAAAGAGAGGAATTAACCGGGGGCCGCCAGACCCCCCTGGTGCAGAGCCAGCCGGAGCCAGGTACAATGCAGCTCCTAATCCAGGCGAATTCCATGGGCCACGTCCCTCCTCATGGCCCAACTTCACACCTGGAGAAGGGCAAGTCTGGGTGGGAGCATCCTTCAGCTCCCAGGCACAGGACATGTGCTGGGAAGCAAGGAGCCGGGTTCCCATCAGGGATCCCACGGAACACTGGTGCCGTTGGGATTTCAGTGTTCTCAGGAGCCTTGTTCGGGGAAAGCAAAAGTGGCACAAAATCCTCTTTCTGGAAGTAGCCAAGAGGCTCTAAATTTCACCTGCGTTTACTGCTATAAGAAAGCTTTTTGGGGACATGAGGAACCGCTCTGCTCGTCAGGGAGCCCTGGGGAAAAGGAGCTGGGTTTCTTCCCCAGCCCTGCAGCTATGGACCAGGAGCACAGGTAAGCAGGAACACCTTGTGGCATTCCCTAAAGGGCTTGGACTTAGATCCTGCCAAAACTCCGTGTCCACAGCTGGGGGGTTCTTTTTGCAGAACACATCCAAACTCCACAAACACCCGTCCTGGCCGGCTGCAAACTCCTGCAGCTCACCCTGCTGCCTGAGACACCCAGGCCAGGAGTCCCCGGGCTCCTGATGCCCATCGCTCCTTGGGCTCCCGGCATGCGGCAGGCACAGGGCACGGCTCCGTGGGCTCCCCCTCAGCAGGGCCCGGTGCTGCCACCACCTCGGCTGTCCCCGCGGCCCGGCCGCCGTGCCCGTGCCGCCGCCGTGCCCGTGCCGCCGCCGCTAGTGGCCACTGCCGCCGCGGGCCGCCGGGAGCAGCCGTGAGGGACCGGCCCTCGCAGCAAGATGGCGGCTCCCGGGCTGCGCTGAGCGCGGGCGGCCGCCGCAGGCTTTGTTCCCGCGGCCCGGCCCCGCGGGGGCTGCGGGGCGGGGGGTGCTGCCGCCGCCCGAACGCCCCGCTGCTTTTTTGGTTTATTTTTGGCTTTGCGTTGCTTGGCTGGGTTTGTTTTTCTGGTTTTGTTTTGGTGTCTTTTTTTTTTTTTAATTAGGTTATTTAATTTTTTTTTTCCTATTTAAAATCTGGGAAGTTTGCAAGCCCCCCACACACCCCCAGCCCAAAGCTTATGGCAGCCTTTCCATGGTACGTATGTAGGGGCGGGTGAGCGCGGTGGGCACGCTGGGCTGGGCGCTGGGGCTGCTCCGCTCACCCTCTGGGGCACGGCGGGACCGGGGCAGGGGTCAGGACAGCGGCTTGTCCTGTCACAAGGAAATCCTGATCCTGCCCAAACTTCCCGGCGGGGGGGATCGGAGTGTGACCCCCATCCCGAGCTGCTGCCGGGTCCCGCGGGATGCGCAGGGCTGCTCCTCCCGCGGGCAGCAGCGCTGAGGGGCGCTGGGCTGGTGCCAGAGCCCCGCGGGTGCTGCGGGATGGGTGCTGTGGGAAGAGGTGCCACGGCTCCATCCCAGCCCCGGCCTCGTGCATCCCACGCACTAATTGCTGCTCTTTTTTCTTCTCTTTTCAAGGCAGCAGCTTCTGCTGGAGCAAGTGCAGGGGGGGCTGTGGGGATGGCTTGGGAGCGAATGGGGTCAGTGACAGGCGAAGAGCACAGGAATGCTCCCCTGGGGCCATTGCAGCCAGGAGCTCGGTGCCCGCCCGATGGATGGGGTCGCTGCCAGGCTTCGGTGCAGGTCACTCCAAGGCCACCTGCCACCACTGTCCAGGGCACCCCGTGGGGAGCACTGGCTCTGTGGGGATGGGCTTTCGCAGCGCTGGGAGTCATGGTGTTGTTCTCCCTTCAATGGCTCTGGTTTGGGGGCTTCATCTTCAGAAAAACCCCAGGTTCCTCATCAGTGTCTCAGCAAGTCGCATGGACTGATGGTATTCCCCAGTTTTCCTGCTGCTCAGTGTCTATGTTCTTTCCTTTTCCCTCTGCATTTTGGGTCTCCCCCTTCCCCATGCAGCGCTGGATTCTTCCCCCTCATCTCACCAACACCTTTATCAAGGCTCAGTTTGGATTTTCAGTCCTGTTCATGGAGAAATGTGGGTTCAGACTGAGTGGGCCTGAAGCGTAGAGAAGAGATCAAGTGAATGCTTAAACCCTTCAAGTTCTGGTTTGGTTACATGCTTAAGTGCTTTGCAGCCTCTAGCTCAGTAGATATTTGGGAGCTTGGCCTGGAGTGGATCCAGTGTGTCACCCCCTGGGAGGGACACTGGGATGCCACTGAATGTGCAAAGCATGGCTCTGCTGCCATGGGACCTGCCATGGCTTCGGCAATTCCCTGCAAGAGGGACAAGCCAGGCAGGACTGAGGGCACATGTGTGCACACAAGCACGTGTGTGAGCTAGCTCCCAGTCACCCTTGTTCTGCTCCAGGGCCCTGGCACTCACTGCCAGCAGCGAGTGCTGAATGCTCTTTTTTGGGTGTTTCAGCCAGTGCTGAGCCTTCCTCACCTTCCCAGTGCTAGCACAGTGGGGAAGGCTGCTCCGAGGGGAAGCATGTGGGTGTTCCTGTGCTGATGGGAGCATCTGTGTGTGCGCCGCTCCCACCAGTGACACCAAGAGCTTCTGGCGGTGCCGATGAGGTGCTTGATGGGATCCCCTCGTGTGGTGCTGGGACTGTTGCACAGCCTGTCCTGCCCTCAGCACCACTGTCACCATGCCACTGACGCTTGTGCCACCACAGCCAGCCCTGGCTGAGGTTTGCAGGGCCCTAATCCCATTTCCCTTGTGTCTCTTTCATCTCCAGTCGGACCAGGAGAGTGGTAATAGACCTTCTTACTAAATTAAATGTGCACGCTGCTCCTCAAGGCACGGTGCGGTTCAACTGTAGTTGATTTCCCAGCCACAGCAGTATGGTGCCTCCAGGAAAAAAGCCAGCTGGGGAAACTTCCAATTCCAATAAAAAGTGTAAACGCTATTTCAATGAGCACTGGAAGGAAGAATTTACCTGGCTGGAGTTTGACTATGAGAGGAAACTCATGTTTTGCATAGAGTGTCGGCAGGCGCTGGTGAAGAACAAGCACGGTAAAGCGGAAAACGCCTTTACCGTGGGCACGGACAACTTCCAGCGCCACGCGCTGCTGCGGCACGTCACCTCCGGCGCGCACCGCCAGGCGCTGGCGGTGAACCGGGAGCAGCTGGCCTTCGACACCCGCGTCCACGGCCACCCCGAGCTGCGCTCGCTCATCAAGGTGGAGGTGAACCCGGCGAAGGTGGCCGTCCTCACCACCGTCTACTGGATGGCCAAGGAGGAGATCCCGGATGAGAAGTGCTCCTCCCTGCTCAACTTCCAGAAGTTCAACCTGTGCCAGGCGCTGCTGGCCTCGGAGCACAGCGAGTACTACCACCCTGGCAGCGTCAGGGAGATGCAGGTGTGTACGGGGGGCTGGGGGCTGCCCCTGGGTGGCCGCAGGGCAGGGACGGTGCCCGCGCCCACCGGCCGTGCGGGAGCTCCCCGAGCCTGCCTGGCTGCTTTGCAGGATGAAAACTAATTGTCCCAGGAGTTCAATTAGCACACACGAGCACTGAGGGTTTTGCATCTTCTGCCCTAAACGGAGTGATCAGAAAGATCAAGTAGCCGGAGAGTTTAAGAGGGATTTCAGAATTTTACGAACACTTAATGCCTGCTAAAATCAAATTAAATTTTTAGTGAGTCTTGGCTGTTCGCCAGGCTTTTCAGCTCTGTGTAGAGCCTTATTTTGCTACAGATAGACTAAACTTACTAATTAGGTTTCCTAGCCTGTGGTGATCCTTGCAGCGGAAGTTTTCCCTCCAAACTGGGGAGTTTGCCTGAAATGGGGGGAGCGTAAATAAATGAGTAAAGATGGGAAAAATTGCTATTTTCCTGCTGCTCCTGCCCCTGCTGGGCCAGTGAAGTGGAACTGTTGGAGTTGAATGGGGCTGGTGTGTTCGTGGTGTCCTGCCTCACTGCCAGCATAGGTGGGGGCTTGGGAATGGGATTTTGGGGGCTTGAGGGGTCAGTGCTGCTGGTGGTGCTGTGTCCTGTTGCATCTGTGGGGGTCTGATCCCAAGCTCAGGACAGGAACACCAAAGTTCTCAGCAGCTTCCCATGGTGCTTGAGCTGCCAAACAGGAGCAGGTGGAGAAAGCTTATTAGGGAAAAAGAAAGCTATTTCCAGCCCCTGTGTGTGTAGTTAGCATAAGGGCTTTTCCCTGGCTTGGGGCTCATGTCCTGTGGGAGCCTGTGGGTGGGAGCCCACCCGGGGTGGGAGCCCACCCGCTCACTCTGTGCCCAGTGCTGTGCATCTCCCACTGCCTCTGAATCTCATTTGTGTTTCTCTCTCCCTCCCTGCACCCCTCCTTCAACTGGCCCAGGCAGCCATTGCCAAAGTCCTCCACAATGAGGACAGGCACAGGATCAAAGCCTCGCCGTTCATTGGGCTGGTGGTGGACGAGACAGTGGATGTCCTGGAGCACCGCAGCCTCGCCATGTTCACCACCACTGTCTCCCCCTGCAGTGGGCAGACCTCCACCACCTTCCTGGGCAGCTTCGAGCTGCCTGCCGGGGAGGCCTCCGCTGTGGCAGGCAAGGTGGGTGAGGTGATGCGCTCCTTCGGCATCCCCACCATGAAGCTCACCTGGCTCAGCGCTGGCAGTGCCTCGCTGGTGGCCGAGCAGCTGAGCGGGGTGGGGACGGCGCTGGCCTCGCTCTGCCCGCTCCTCACTGAGGTGCACTGCCTGTCCCACGGCACCTCCCTGCTGCTGGCCGAGAGCATCAGCACCATTGAGTACCTCCAGAAGTACGAGACCACCGTGGATGCTGTGTATAGGCTCTACTCCAGCTTCCAGGGAGAAGGTGATAGCCTGCAGGAGCTGCGGAGAGTCCTGGACCTCTGTGAGATAGATCTCGGGAGCCCCAAAGCCATCCATTGGACTTCTATCTTCCCAGCTGTAGAAGCCATCGACTCCTCGTGGCCCACACTGGTGCTGCTGCTGGAGAGTGAGGTGGAGCGCTCACCCGTGGCCCGTGGCCTCTGCGAAGAGCTCAAGAAGTTCCAGTTTGTGGCCTTCACCAAGATCCTCCTGGATGTTCTCCCCATCTTCCAGAAGCTCAGTCGTTTTTTCCAGATCGAGGACTTCGACCTCTCCATCTTGAAGCCCATAGTCTCAGCCACAGCCACCACTCTGCAGGCCCAGCAGAGCACCAGTGGCCAGAACCTCCGGGAGTTCCTCAGCGAGATGAACAAGCACCCGCAGGACGGCCGGGAGGGCGAGAGCCGCCTCTACTACAAGGGTGTTGAGCTGGCCAACTGCTCCCAAGTGCACCTGAAACACTTTGAGCACCTGAAGGACAGCTACCTGGAGAGGGTGCGGGGCAACCTGCTGGACAGGTTCCCCAGCAGCGTCCTGGAGGCCATCAGCTCCTTCTCTGCCATCTTCAACCCCAAGTGCTACCCCCAGTCTCTGGAGGACATTGGCAGCTATGGGGTCAGCGAGCTGAATTTCCTGCTGCAGGTGTACTCACGGGTGGTGGTGAGCGAGAGGGCCCTGAGCGACTTTCCCCTCTTCAAGCGCATCGTCTTCAGCCTCAGCCAGCTCTCCTTCAAGGACCTCTGTGTCAAGCTGGTCTACAGCAGCTCTGAGATGCATGAACTCTTCCCAGACTTTGCGGTCCTGGCAGCTATTGCCCTGGCCTTGCCGCTGGGCTCGGCCCTTGCCGAGAAGATCAGCCGTGGCCGGGAGCTGCTGAAGCGCGGCCGCTCGCGCCTTGCCAAGGACGAGGGGCTCTCTGACCTCATGAAGATCGCCATCGATGGGCCAGCCATCGGCGAGTTCAACTTTGCGCTGGCCATCGAGTACTACGAGAGCATGAGGGAGTCTGGGTTCATCGTGGCGCAGGTGAAGTGAGCGTGGCTGGTGAGGAGCCGGGGCCTGCGGGCAGCCCCCAGGGCCAGCCCAGTGCCGCCTTTCCACATCACTGGTCCCTGCTGGGCAGCCGCAGTGGTGGTGACCTGCTCTGTGCTGGGAAGAGAAAACAGGATCCTTTGCAAAGCCATGCTGGTGCCATGACCACCCCTCCCTCATGCCCCAAACCTCTGTTTGAATCACTCAGAATCCTGGGGCCACCTGAGATCCCAAATTGCAATGAGTTTTTTCTAGGGGTTTGTCATTATTTTGTTTTAGGGAGATGAAGGCAAAGCTCTTGCGCTCAAATGTCACATTGCCTTTGCACAAAGATACCCAGCAGCTTTTGCTTAATGCTCTGCAAAAATATGGGATTTCTGTTATTCTGGAGCCTGGAGAGTGAATGCAGAAAAGGCAGCGCATCCTCCGAGCTCTGCGCCGACCCCAACATGTCTGGCGGTGTCGTGTTGGTGTTCCTTGCACACAGCACAGGGTATTTTTAGTAGTGGCATCAAGTCACGATCATTTCAAGAGCAAGAGATTTAGGGAATGATATTGTAATGGCTGAGGAAATAGTAACTTTAAATGCATCATTGTGTACATATGTGTATGTGTGTATATATATAAAAATATACATATATAAATATCTATATTAAAAAGGTCTATCTTAATTTTCCTAAAGTTTAAAGTGTAAAGATATCTAAAAGGACTTTTTTTTTTTTTTGCAAGGTCAGAATAAATTATGAGCAGGGGTCCAAAACCAAGCAATAGCTAATTCTTGTTCTTTCCAAAACATCCTCACCTCCCTGAGTTCCCTTTGCACCCTGAGCACTTGGCAACCTGTAGTCTAGGAGAAAGTCCTTCAACAACTGCTTTTGGGACCAAGTGGAGGTTTTCAGCTTGTATTTCTGCTCTGAAGTGTTACTCTCTATCCCAAGGTGGGCAGAGCTGTTGGTGCCTGCAGCAGTAGGAGCTCGGGGCCCTCTGCCTCTGTGGTCCCAGAGGGGCTGGGGTGCTGCTGGTGTGTTCCAGTGTGATGGGGCTTTGCTGGTTTTGACTTGGAGGGTTTCCTTCGCTTCAGACTGATTCTAATCAGCAATAAACCCAGTACAGCAGCATGAAGCATTATCTCAGTTGAATCCTGAGCATTAGGTCCTCTGCTGGGGCTGCCAAAAGCTGGAAATGGGAGGATGCAGCAGATCTGCTGCCCCACAGTCCAGGTCTGGCTGCTCTGGGAATCCAGTGCAGTGCAATCTGTTTGTTACTAGCCCGGATCCCAGAGGTGCTGGGGCTGCACTGGTGCTGCCATCATGGTCCAGCGTTGTGACTGGGGGTTGCTCCTCCTCTCTGGCCATCAGCCTTTGGCATTGGGGAGCCTCCTGGAAACATGCTTGGCCAGAGACAAAATCTTTAAAGCCCTGCCTAAGGATTTAGAGACACCATCAAAAATTGCTGAGAACATCTCCCGAGCCGGGAGGGAGCCTCCGTGTGAATAAACAGCTCCTTCTCCATCTGGCCTGGGCAGACTCTGCGCCAGATGCTCGCTGAGGCAGCGGCGTCTGTGGAGATGGGTCCTGGCAGACTCGTGTTGGTGTGTGAACCTGCAGTGCTGGCCCTGTCGCCTGCACAGGCAGCTCGGGGAGGTTCACACAGGCAGGTGACAGAGCGCAGCAGTTGCTCTGCTCTGCCTCACAGGGACCAGGAGAAAAACCTGCTGCAGGTGTGTGTCCGGTGGCTGTGAAGGGTGAAGGGGTTGGGGACAGGCTGGGGGCGACAGCCAGACACAGTTTGGGTGAGTTTGGTTAACTGTAGGGCTGGAAATTCCTTTAAATTCCAAGGGATCCCTACAAAAGTCACTTGTCTGTGGGACAGGAACCGGGCTGAGCTCCAGAGGGCTGGGAAGGGGCTGACCCCAGGTGGAGAATGTGCGGGGTCTGATGTCTGTGGCTGAGCCCCAAGCAGGGGACACGCAGCACCACCTCAGGGACATTGTGGCTTTGACATCTCTTGGTCAGGCCTGGACCGTACCTGTGGACTGGGGGTGGCACAGAGACACCCCCCTCAAACTGCAACAGGTGCTCACGCCAGGAGCACATGGTTCCTGTGCTCCTCTCCTTGTAGCAGCCCCTTGGAATGCTCTGCTGAGCCTGGAGCATGTCCTGTCCGGGAGGACCAGCAGTGCCAGAGCAGCAGCATTCGCTGTGCAGGTGGGGGCTGCTCTGCCTAAGTGGGGGGAGACAGGTCAGGAGCTGTGACAAAAAGCTGAACCACTGGGGGCTTGTTCACCCAGCACAGCCCCACCTGCTGCTGGCCATGCCTGTCACCTTGCCTAAGGTCGTGTCATTCTATACAGACCTGGGACCCTGCCACTCTCCCAAAAGCAAATCTCCTTAATTGAGTGGCTAATTAATACCTAAAAATACTGCCCTCAGCTGCTGCTGGAATCTGCCCTGCAGCAAAGGTAAGGCAGGACCCACAATGCCATGGCCCTGTAACCTTGGAAAGGTGCCCCAAGAGCATCCTGTGGGTGCCCCAAAGGGTGTTGTGACATGCTGGGAGCTTCACTGGGGTGGCCTGAGCCCTCTTCCTGCTCCTTGTGGTCTTGTCTGCTTCAGGGACAAAGCCAAGTGAGAAAAGACCTGCCCATCTGCAGAGTCTCACAGGGGTGTCTGAGCTCTCTCTAACTGCCTGGTTTATCCCAGTCTAGAAATGTGTTTAATCCACAAATTTGAGCTCAAAGATGTGCCAAAGAGGTTGGCATATCTTCTCTGTACCATTGGTGGGCAGCAGCTGCTGCAGGTGGTGGCCGATCCTGGGAGTCCGTGTCCCCTCAGCATTCATCCTGTGCCTGCCCAGTGCAGGAGCTGCTCCCCAGGGAGTGAACCCTTCAGCCCAAGCATTAGCTGAGCTGCAGCATCCCTTCTTGTAGTCACTGATTTTGGGGATGAGGTGATCACCCACCTCTTGTTCCTCCCATATATATATTTTTATATTTTTAAATATGTATATATACATATATATAAAAATATATTTTAATATACATAAAATATATTTTATATATATATAAAATAGATTAAATATATAAATATATATTAATATTAAAATACATACATACATACATACATATATATATGTATGTATATTTTATGTTTTCAAGGCCAGTGCAGTCCATACAGATTTCACTGGCTGTGACGAGTGGCACCCCTCATGACTGAGCCCCAAATGCCTTCGCTGCTCTCGCGTGGGGACCTGGCTGCGTGTGCTGGGGGGTCCCAGGGCAGCTCCTCTGGCGCCAGCCCAGCCATCTCAAATTATTTGATGTAGAAACACTGTTTCACGCCTCAGAAGGTTAATTATGCACCCCTCACCCAGTCCCGCTCGCTGCTGCCGTAATGTTATTTATTTATTTTTAAGCGGTTTCGCAGATTTCCCTTCTGGGCGACTCTGGAATTAACTCAATCAGTGCACGCCCGATGAAGCAAACCGTAATTCCTCCCTGGAGTCAGGCCTGGCTTGGGGATGGCTCCGGCGCCGTGGCAGAGCCTCGCGTGCGCTCGCCCAGAAAGAGGTCGTTGGTGCCCGTGGGGCTGGCGACGAGCGCTCGCTGCTCAAATCCAGGGAATCTCTCAAACTTTGAATTTCAGATGCGTGTCTGGCATCCTGCACCAGGCAGGATCGGGTGTGGAGCAGCGTGAGGAGCAGCACCAGCCCGGGATCCTCGTTCTGCATAGCTGGTGTCAGGGTGTGGGGGCTGGAGGGGGCTCAGGCTTGGGGCTGCCACAAGAGGTGCTGGTGGAGAGTGGGGACTGGCCAGTCAGCCTCCCACAAGAGTATTCTCAGCTCCAGGGGGGTGGTGAGATGGGGTTGTGCTGTGTTGGGTCAAGGGATTCATGATACCTTTCCGGTGGAAAAGAGCCCAAACCTCAAAAAAATCCAAAGGACTGAGGAACATTGACTTTGTCCTTGCTGCAGGAAAAGGGACGGGGCTTTGGGTGGGTTGGAGTGGTTGTGAAGCCATGTGGGATGTGAATGGGCTCTTCTGACTCACTGCACGCTGTAATAGTTTTTTATTTATTGTATTTGATTAGTTCATTTTTTTTTTTATTTTAGCTTTCTCCCCTCCTTGCTCCCAGAGCTGGGCAGGATCTCCCTCTGCCACTTGCAGGATGCTTTCCTGCGCTCATCATGTGTGATGAGGCCGAGTTGGGATGGGGAGCAGGCTGGAGACAGGTCTCTGCTTGGCCTTCCTTCCCTCCTCCCGTGTCCCACGGGTGTTTTCTATTGAAACAGAACATTATTAATAACTCTGGGCTATTTTTAAATCTCATGCTGGAGCGCGTGGTTCATTTGCGGGGGACGGGGAGCGGCGGCTGTGCCGCAGGAGTGGGGGCAGCTCATCCTCTGCCCCCAGCCAAAACCTCACCAGCCCCGGTGAGGAGCCCTGGGGGTGCTGGTGTGGGGGAGCCCAGGGCTGTGTGGCTCCGTGGGAGAGCCCAGGGGAAGAGCTGCTTCCCTGGGGGAGGTTTGGGCACCTTTTGAGGCTTTGGACTCCTCCAGGTGCCCACGCTGTGATGCGGAGGTGACTGCATCCAGCTTCGAACTGGAGTGCTGGTTTGGAGCCTGGAAGGCAAAGAGGTGCCCAGAGCCACCCTGGGCTGGGGCTGCTCTTTGGGAGGACTCTGTAGTCCATGGCAGATGTCCCCAGGTGCTGTGTCTGGTGTGCTCTGTCCTCCTGCTGCGAGCAGGGATCCCCAGTGCTAACTCTGCTCTCTCCCTCTGCCTGCCCAGGTCCCTCCGGACACAGCAGCCCCCTCTTAGCATCGTTGCCCATCCCTGGCCGGCCTCTTCATCCCCCCTTGGACATCAAGCACTTTCTGACCTTCAGGCTCAACGGGACATCACCGCTCAACCTCTTCCCCAACTTCAACACGGTGAGTCCCCAGGGAGGATGGGCATCGGCTGCTAGATCCCTCCTCCCCTACAGCAGTCCATCCTCTGCATGGCACCACTCCTGAAACCCTACCAGGTAGTTTCTGGTTTAATTCCTGAGGTCTTTGGCTGCTGGATGCCAGTTCAACATGCCCATTTTGCCCTTAGCTCGGAGAGGTTCCTGCCAAGCCAGCGCCTGTCAGTACCAGAATTAAAAACATGGTTCATTTTAACCAAGATCAATTGGATTTTGCCCCTGGAATCAATAGTAATAAAGTAGCTCTGGAGAGGAGTTCATTAGTTGAAAATTAAATAAGGAAAAGAAAAGAATGAGAGAGAATGTGCTACAGATATGAGGAATGTGGCTGGTGCCGTGGATACTGGGGGAGTCAGAGTGCTGGGGGGCTGTTCCCATTTGGGCTCCAGGTCCCTGACCTTGGACTACCAAGCCAGGTGCCTGGAGTGGGCAATGACACACATCTTTAGAGATGTTCCATTAGACAGTTAAATGCCATGGATGTGACCAAGGACTCACCACCATGTCGGGTGAGAAATGGTTTTCTCCCTGTGCTGCACCACTCCCCCAGGCTGCTCCCAGCCCCGTGGGGGTCTCTGTAACCCCTGGGTGCTGCCTAGAAATGTTGTGGAGGAGGCTGTGCTCTGGGAAGGGCAGTGGGCCCGGGGGCTGCTCCTCATCTCTGCCCCTGCTGCACTTCATGCCAGTGTTCTGGGGTTCAGTCAATGCCCGTTGTTTTCTCTCATGAGCCTGGAAATTAAACTTTCCCGAACCCCCTCCCTGCTCACTGGCCTTTTGTGAGTGGCTTTGAGCTTAAAC